GGTGCCTTAGCCACTTGAGCCACAGGCGCTGAGCCTGTAGACTGCTCTTGGCTTGGAATCTTAGTTCTACCATTTTCTGGATGTATAAATTTAAGCAAATTAGTCTTTCTGAGACTTAGCTTCCTCATGTGTTAAATGATCTATTAGAAAGAGTTAGGTGTAAAGTCATTGAAATTAAGAAGTATAAGTGACTTAACAATAATAAGTAGGAAGTGGTGGGCTTAGTAACTTTCAGTTGTTAATCCAAGAGGCACAGAACTTATGTTTCCCATTTTGCTTGGCCCCAAACAACTCAGAACCAACTTTCTGTCTAGACCTCAACAGCTGTATTATTTCTCACGGTTACCAAATTTATTTTCTCTATTTAAGTTCTCTATACACATGTATTAATATAGTATAGATAGTACAGGTATATCTTAGTATACAGATCCTTTGTGTAAACCATCTTTCTGTTTGTGAAAAGTTAAGGAAGCTATTCAAATCTTTCATGACCTATTTCAGTGGTATAAATTGGAGGACAAACACTTTCAGTTCTGTAAGTTTTGGGAGTGATACATGCTTCACTGGATAAGTACATGCTTTAGAAAGTCTGCACTGGGGCTCAGACAGCTACTTACTAAGTACTGATTTGGAGAATTTTGCTCAGTAGAAGAAAATATTTTGAAACTATGACTAAGATAAAATGACCACAATTTGAGCATTGAGATATTCTTGCCAGAAAAATGTTTCACTCTTCCTTAAAAACTGTACAGACCTCATAGTGATTACAGAGTGCACGGCATAATGATTTAGGTCTGTAGCCACAGATACTGGGTTAAGATAGAAGTTCTGGAACTTAATAGCTGTGCTGATTACAGATGATTTGGGGCAAGTTAGCTAACTTCTCTGTGTCTCCCTTTCCTCATTTGTAAAATAAGGTTTATAATAGTTATCTACTTTATAGAGTAATGGAGAGGATAGAATAGTATCTATAAGGACTTAGAATACTACCTGGCATGGGAAGTGTATTGTTTAGTGTACCACTAAAAAAGACTGAAGCCATCCATTATTCTACCGTAATAGTGTCATTTTAAATATTTTGCTTTCTCTTCTGCTCTTTTGCCTCAGATATATACTTTAAAAGATTGTAGCTGTAACATATGTGTAATTTGTGTTGGGTAATTTTAAACTTCTTATATCTTATTTATTT